CTTAACCAAAATAAAGTAGCGCTGACGTTTGCCAATTGCATTCTCTACCTTAGCCCCCCCCTCAGAAAACTCCTTTAAGGAAAAAAGAAACAAACCCTAGAAAATTGAGAGACACTGGCTCTGAAAAACAAACAAACAAACAAACAAACAAACAAACAAACAAACAAACGAGCAAAAAGCGGAGCTTACAACAGTGTCTTGAATTGGGAACGCCAAACATGGTTGTCAGCAATTAGTCTCCACACCCTTCTCAATAAACCTGCAGTGACTCTCTTAAAATAGGGAAAGACACGATGAGTGTGACACAACCCTCTAAGTCACTTCAGTTCTCACAAGTCTTGTTGATTGTTTGAAGCCATTTGAGGGCGTATGGGGCATAAACTTCCACGTGCTGATGCTTCCAAGGAGACCTTTCCCGCCGTCTGCAGAGAAGGTTCTGAGCTGGAGTTGGGCTCCTGGTGCACGTGCTCCCTGGGATAGCATCCGCAACTGTGACCGCAACAGTGATGGGGCCACGGCCACATGACGCCTGGAAACAGGCTTGAAAGGGACCTGGCAGGGCATCCCTAGGGCCCACCCAGCTTCTGGCTGGAGACATCCAGAAGGGGCAGGTTCTCCTGAGATGCTGGGCAACCATCACGGTTTGTCCAAATAAGGAGTCAAAATCTGCTCATTATCGCTCATTTGGCCTTTTAGAGCATCAGAAAATAAGATTCTTCTACATGTTTCGAAACAGCTTTCCTGGCCCCACCTTCCTTCTTTAAGGTAAATACATCTTTCATGGGAGGTGATTTTTAGACCTCTCTCTAGCCTGGTCACCCTCTACGGGACATGCTCTAATTTCCAATGTCCTGTAAAGATATTCAGTTCCCACAACTAAAAACAGAGTTTCAAAAGGAGGATTTGGCTGCCTGTGTGAGGGAAGGCCATTGGTGACAGGAGTGTCCCCGCATGGCCCCCATGCCTACTTTCTCTTCCAAGACCTCAAGTCTCCGGAACCCACGGTGCCTTCCCCTGTATTCCGCGTGGGGCGGTGTGAAACAAAACAGAAACCTATAGCGGGTGGGACAGAGAGGTAAGGTCCAGAGACTTTCTAATTTTACCAAATGCTTTATGCCATTGCTCCCTGGGCATCTGCAAAAGAATGGAATTCGTTCCCCCAGAGGAAAGGCATCCTTGCTTAGGGTTTGGAGGAGGAAACTCATGCATTAGAAGGGGGGGCCAGGCTAGAAAAGAATCCTCCAAATCCATGACTCATTGGAATTATTTTCTCTTTCCCCTGAGTATGTGGGTTGTAGACAAGCGTTACTGCCTATTCCATGCAAGAAAGTGTGAGTGTAAGAGCATTTGGCTCCGCATTTCAGGGAAAGGCCGTTTCCTTTTGCACCTTCTGCACAGGCAGGCACAGATGGCTGTGAGTCTCTGGGGGACTTCTCTTGGTGGAGAGCTGGTTATTTGGAGCCTGAGGTCTGGTGAGAGGACAGTTAGAGGCCTGAGTCCTCCCACTGTATTGCTGGCTTCAAGGGAAGCTGGTGATTGCCAAAATGACCCTTGGACAGGTGGTGCCTATTTTTTTTTTTATTATTTTTTTTATTTCGGCATATTATGGAGGGTACAGATATTAAGGTTTCAATAAATGCCCATTCCTTCCCTCCCCCCATAAGTCGGAGTCTCCAGCATGACCATCCCCCAGATGGTGCACATCTCACTCATTATGTATGTATATACCCGCCCCCATCTCCCCCCACCTGCCCCATACCCAATTACTGTAGTACCTATGTGTCCAATTAGGTGCTGCTCAGTTAATACCAGTTTGCTGGTGAGTATATGTGGTGCTTGTTTTCCCATTCTTGGGAAACTTCACTTAGTAGTATGGGTTCCAGCTCTAACCAGGAAAATATAAGATGTGCTATATCACCATTGTTTCTTAGAGCTGAATAGTACTCCATGGTATACATATACCACATTTTATTAATCCATTCTTGGATTGATGGGCACTTGGGCTGTTTTCACAGCCTTGCAATTATGAATTGTGGTGCTATAAACATTCGAGTGCAGGTGTCTTTTTTGTAGAGTGTCATTGGATCTTTTGGGTAGATGCCCAGCAATGAGATTGCTGGATCAAATGGTAGATTCACTTTTATCGCTTTAACTCCATATTGCTTTCCACAGAGGTTGAACTAGTTTGCAGTCCCACCAGCAGTGTAGGAGTGTTCCTCTCTCTCCGCATCCACGCCAGCATTTATTGTTTGGAGGCTTTTTGATAAAGGTCATTCTCACTGGAGTTAAGTGATATCTCACTGTGGTTTTGATTTGCATTTCCCTGATGATTAGAGATGTTGAGCATTTTTTCATATGTTTGTTGGCCATTCTTCTGTCTTCTTTAGAAAAGTTTCTGTTCAAGTCCTTTGCCCACTTTTTAATAGGATTATTTGATTTTTTCTTGCTGATTTTCGTGAGTTCTAAGTATATTCTAGTTATCAGTCCCTTATCGGATGCATAGGATGTAAAAATTTTCTCCCATTCTGTAGGTTGTCTGTTTACTTTCGTGACTATTTCTTTGGCTGTGCAGAAGCTTTGTAGTTTGATCATGTCCCATTTATTTATTTTTGTTGCTGCTATGATTGCCTTTGGGGACTTCTTCATAAACTCTTTGCCTAAGCCGATGTCTAGGAGAGTGTTTCCAACATTTTCCTCTAGAATTCTAATACTTTCATACCTTAGGTTTAAGTCTGTTATCCAGCGTGAGTTGATTTTTATGAGAGGTGAAAGGTGTGGGTCCTGCTTTAGCCTTATACAAGTGGCTATCCAGTTTTCCCAGCACCATTTATCAATGGTGCTTATTGACAAAGGCCATTCATTTCCTTTTTTTCAAGATTGTGCATTGGCAAAATTTGGGATTACGGAAAACTCAAAACTTTGGTCCAGTGTATAGTTGCACTGCACTATCTGATGAATATGAACCAAACTGAATCAAATGACTGAACCCAACCCAACCAGGTAACCAGTCAACCACCCAGATGAAAACCATGAGGAGAAGGGGTGAGGAGTGGGGAAGGAGAGAAGTGGGTTTTGTGATTTTTTTTACTTGAGTAGCTCTTAACCTTTAGTGCAGGAGTGCATGGTGACGTAGTGAGTCTGGGCTGCAGCCCCAGAACATGCATTTCTGGTAAGTGTCCCAGGTGACTCTAGTGCAGCCTGTGGCCACCCCTTTGAAAGTCACAGGAACAAATTACCCGATATTTTTGCTGGGATGACTTGCTGCTCCGCTTTCATGATATTGAATAGATGTCCCTGCTACTCGCAGCTGCTGGAGTCCCTGATGGGGAAGAATAAGGAAATCGGGGGAAACTGCCCGTTTTCGTTTTTGTCAATTCAAGCAAGAGCATTCAAGCTGAAAGGTTGTTTGGCTGTTTTTGGGACCAAGGAGTCATCAAGCATTAATAAAGGAGAGAGTGTCGGAAGAGATCATCGATTAGGAGCCATCTCCTGAAGGTGCTCCCTTCCCTGGGATTAGACAAATGGATCACACAACCCGGCGGATATGTTATTAATGAACAAACCAAACAAAACAGAACGATTAGCGTGTTACACGATCCTACGTGCAGTTACTACTGTGTTAATTGTTGGTGTGGTGTGCACGGTACATGGATTCGTACTGGTTTGTGATGTAAAATGTGTTTCCTTATCATGGGTCATGGTCAAAAAATTGGAGGGCATTGCCTCTGTAATGACTCTGGGAGATGCTGTGAGTTGCTGTATTCTGAGAATTTCCTTGCTGTTGTGAGTGATCCCACCCACGCCGCTCAGCGGCTGCGTTGCAATTGGCAAAGCGCCATGAATTGATTTCCTCACCAGACTCGTGCCCTGCAGCCAGCGCTATTTGTTTAAATAAAGATGCGGCCGGCAGTGGAGGACAGTGATGCCATAACAAGGTTAAACCAGTGGGAGCTGCAAGAAGGCATGCTCCTTTTTGGAAGCGTAGTGCAGAGATGAGGGGAATATCAAATTAGACAAATTGGAGGGGACGGTGGAAAGAAGGACCCAGATGCAGGACATCCGGGGTCTGGTGGGAAGGAAGGCTGCCGTGGTAATATAATCAGGATGTTGCCGCTGTGCGGAGGAAGGCCCCTCTGGAAGATGCCCTATTTCATTAGGAGAGTACCTTGATGACGCCTCCTGGCAAATGGTTGAACTGGAGAAAAAGAAGCACACAACAAAACAAAATGTCTTTGTTTTCTTTTGCTCTAGAAATAACTGACGCCTTCTGAGAAGGACGCTCTGCAGTCAGGCAGGAACCGGTGGGCGCGGCTATGCCTCTATGGCAGTGCCACCATGCTGGTGCTTGCCATGGAGTGTGGGTCAATGCTTCATGCTGGACCCGGTGAGAACCTCGCAGGTGCGGGGCTCGGGTGGTGCGTGACCGTGTGTGCGTGTGGGTCGGGGCTGGCAGGGTACGTAGAGGTGGGAACTGACGCCCACGGAGGACAGAGATGAGGGTGAGGGGCGGGGCGGAGTGGAGAGACTTGCACACATCATGAGGAGTTGCAGAGAGAAGTGAGATCCGTCCAGCAGAAGAGGAGTCTTGTCCAAGTCGAATTCCTTAGTGCAGCCATTCACTTAGTACGCAGTGAGTGCAGGGCGCAGCCGGCTGGGGCGGGGGGCGCTGGGTGAGCTGAGAGTGCAGCGGTTACTGTTGGAAGAGGGGCCCAGCTGCTGAGGTGTCCAGAGGTTCAGGAAACGCTGGATTAAACATGCAGTGTTCTAGATGTGTAACAACACTGTGTCAGCCGAGCAAACATGGTTAGGACCGATGGGCTGCAGACGGTCGTTGTCACCCACTCTATCCACTCTGGCCTTTCACCCGCCTCATTCACCACGAGGTGTTTTCCTGAGGTGAAGACACGTGTCCAGCTGAATCCCGAATGACATCATTTCTCAAAAATGGCCCAAATGTATTTGGTGTTTACGTGCCCACAACCTTCGTCAACCCCTGCAGTCATGATTAAGGCTTTGATGAAGTAATGGAAGTAAAAATAAAGAAGAAAATGAAGTAATTTTCTAGTCTACCTTGTTGAGAAAAGTCACCTTACAGACAAGAGCTCATGTGAAAAATGTTCATCAACATTTGTTGGTGGATAATTTCTTCCACATAGCCATTAATTTGTGTATTTATGTATCAGTTAGACGACAGTTTCAACAGAGCAGGTAAACTGAGGAAGTCATCTTCATTAAACACTGGGCACAACGAAACCACCACTGAAACAGGACTCCAAAGAATAATCTTCACACGCTGGACATCGTTACGTGCGTGGTCCAGGCTCCCAAGGGGAAATGAATTGGATTTACAAATGTTTAAAGTTTGAGCCCCGTCCTCACGTGGCCCTAGCGAGGCCCCGTACGCACAGGGCGGTCGCGCCTGGCGGCGAGAGCCGCACGCAGCCGACGCTCTGTGGGGCTGCACTCGGCGCGTGTGCGCAGGCGCGTCAGCACGGCGACCTTTGTCCCACGCTCTCTCCCAGAGCCGTCTTTCACCTCCTCGGGAGCGTGGGCGCTTAACAAAAACACAAGGGACCGGTAACGGCACCAGTTAAAGTCCCCACACGCGGTGACTCCAGGGGAAATAGCGGCGGAACCGGAGCTAAGTTCTGTCCCAGCGCAGGACGCAGTTCGGGAATCGCTGATGTCTGCCGATTCGTGCCTCGCCAGGCATTTGCTCGTCGTCGCCTTACCTGCCCTCTGTGTCTCTCAAGGCCATCGGAGAGTTCATTCTGGTGGACAAGGATGTGAAGATCAAAAAGAAGGGCAACATCTACAGCCTTAACGAAGGCTACGCCAAGGACTTTGACCCCGCCATCGCTGAGTACGTCCAGAGGAAGAAGTTCCCCCCGGTGAGTGAGGGGCGGCCGGGCGGGGCGGTTCCAGGCACCGGCACCAGGGGCAGCTCTGGGGGAGGCGGGGTCCCCTGAGGGGAAAGGGACCCTGGGATGGAGGGGCCTGGACCTCGTGTGGGACTCTTGAGTTACGTGGAAATCCATTGACTGAAGATTCACCTTACCTTAGAGTGAAGAAAGCAGGGGATGGAAGTGGGTTGGATTGTTGATCGCACTGCAGCCCATGATTAGAGTTCTCATGTAGTGTCTGGGCACTTGAAATTCTTGCCCTGAGGTGTCAAATCAGAGCGTGTATCTGTGGCCGATCGACACTTTCTCTTGCAGAAGAAATCAGGATGATAAATAAGTCAACCAGATGCATGAGTGCGCGTGGCAGGTAAAACAGTTTCCCTCTGGGGGCCTTGGTCCAGAAGGCACAAAAGGTGGTTCTGCCACCCAGGCCCCTGCCATGGGGTGTCTGTCCCTCCTGCCCTCCTGTCCAACATGGATTTATCAGTCGTCCCGGGAATGAGAGTGTCCACCTTGGTATCTCTCTAAGGAGGTTGCAATTTAGTGACTATGAAGAGAAGAAATGGCTGGTCGTAGAGGTGGCTGTATGTGGCAATATCTGACTTTGTCATACCTTTGCTTGAATGCCATTGACACCTGTTTTCTGAGGATGAAGCCGCGCAGAATGTTGTTTGCATGACCAGGTCGAGGTCGCT